GGGCAGCTCAGAGTCAACCACATTGCTGTGGGCTTTGAGTCATATGTAGGCCAGACCAGGTAAGGATGGCAGTTTCCTTTCCTAAAGAACATTAGTGAACCAGATGGGTTTTTCTGACAATCGACGATGAATTCATGGTCATCAATAGATTCTTAATTCCAGATATCTTATTCAAATCAAATTCCACCATCTGCTGTGGTGGGATTCGAACCTGAGTTCCCCCAGAATGTTATCTGGATCTCTGGATTAACAGTGAGTGAGTGACAGTGAGACTGACAGTGACAAAGAGAGACAGAAAGAATGAGTATGGGAATGCGAATGTGTGTGATGAAGTGAGTATGAGTGACAGAGAGTAAGTGACTGAGAGTGTAAATGAGAGTGAGAGAGAAAGGGCTGAGTTTTATGTGTTTTATTTGGCCAAGTACGAGTTACATTGGGTTTTTGAAAGGATTGCCAATCATTGTCACCCATCCCAACCTTGACAGACTAACCCTGCAATATCCTCTACACTGTCTGATCACTCGCTCAGGATGTATCCCTATCTGCAGCAAAAATTACAGTTGTTCCACCCATGTGAATCTCTCTTAATCTGCCTCTCTGTTATTCCAGGAGGAAAACAGCCCCCAGTAGGGCAGAAAGACTCAAGATGGGGGCTGCCCAACATTTGACTCCTCCCTGCTTATGTGGGTGGACAGCATCCTGACTCTGACTGCCCTGACTGGATGAATGACCATGTCTAAGCCCCTATATGGGAACCCGTAAGCAAAGACTATCCCTTTGAGGCCAGCTGCCAACCATGGCAGCTTTCCAACTTTGTCTGTGCACTAGACAGAAGAAACATGAGCCTGGTAGCTCTGGTTGTGGGAGCAGAGAGTAAAAAACGCAACAGAAGGAGCAGCAGCATGGAACAGGGCAGCACGGTGGCTCAGTGTTTAGCACTGCTGGCTCACAGTGCCAGGGACCCAGGTTTGATTCCACCCTCGGGCAACTGTCTGTGTGGAGTTTGCACATTCTCCCTGTGTCTGTGTGGGTTTCCTCCAGGTGCTCCAGTTTCCTCCCACAGTCCAAAGATGTGCAGGTTTGGTGTATTGGCCATGCTAAATTGCCCGTAGTGTCCAGGGATGTGCAGGCTAAGTGGATTTGCCATGGGAAATGTAGGGTTACAGTGATAGGGTAGGCAGTGTGTCTGGGTGGAATGCCCTTTGAAGGGTTGTTGTGGGCTGGCAGGGCTGAATGGCCTGCTTCCACACTGTAGGGATTCTATAAAGGAATGAAAAGCAGGGATGATGTGAGCATCCAGGCAGTCTCATGGTGAGTGTGCACTATGACAGCAAGCAAAGTGCCTGGAGATGTTATCTGGCCCAGTATAGGAGCTGGGTATGTGTCCCTGAGCACACAGTGTCCTTTCTGCAGCATTATAATGATAGTTGCTAGTGCAGCCTGAGGTGTTGCACTGAATCCTGGATATAAGCCATGAGAGTGCTTAGATGCTGGCACATATCGGATGCCAATGTCCATGGACATGGGGTGCATGTGGCCAGTGCCCTCTGAGTGTGCCATGAAGTGTTGATGCCCAGTGTCCAACATGGAGCTCCTTAGGCACAAGCAGTGAGATGTTGTCACCCTGTACCCTTTCCTTGTCAAGGTTTCTTGATGTTGAGCTTGTTTGTCATGTTTGCTAAGATGGGAAGCTGAATATTAAAGAGGTGAGTTGGCCATTAACAAGCTGTTTAATAAGCAATAATTCCCTTAATTACTAACTTACCATTGCATCAAGAGAATCTCACCTTGCCACTTCTGAAAAGCATAAAAGATAGAATGAGATGTTCCCAATGCTGTAATAGGCCTCACCAGACTTCTCATGCCATTCTGTCGCCAATTTCACCATAGCCCACATCGCTCAAACCCTACAAGATTCCACCCAGACTGAAAGATTGAGAAAGTGAGAATAATTGAGTGAGTGAGAGAGAGAGAAAGAGAAAGAGACGGGTCTGGGATTGGGTGTAAGGGAATGTGACAGTGTGTGGCAAAGCGAGTATGCGTGGGAGAGCAAGTGCAAGTGCAAATGAGTGATTGAACGTGAGACAGCATGGATGTCAGCAACAGCATGAGTGAGTGTGTGTAACAGACTGAGAGATGAGAGTGTATGAGATTGTGTGAGTGAGTGTGAAAGAGAGACAGAGTTTGACTAAGTAACAGAGGATCATATGACTGCAACACCTGTGCAAACTGTCCTCCCTTCACAGCCCCACATCATCACCCCACACACACACACACACACACACATGCACAAGCACCCACACTCTCACACAATCTCTCACACAAACACACACATAAAATCTCTCACACTAACACACACACTCTCTCACACAAACACACATTTACAATCTCTCTCACACATATATACACACACACTTACACACACAATGTCTCACGCAAACACATATACATACAATCTCTCTCACACAAACATAGGCACACTCTCTCTCTGTCTCACACACATATGTAACATCTCTCTGAAACACACACACTCCTCTGATTTGAGGTCATAACAACTTTTACAGGGTCACAGGAAGAAAATGTTTGGGCAGCATGGGTGTAACAATAATGTTTTGTAAACAAAGCATCCCTGCATTGATTTGTTTGTCTTGGATTATTGACATTAGATCAGATCTAGGCTGATACCATGGGTGCAGGAGTGTCCAATGGGAAGAGATTGGGTTGACTGGGCCTGTATTCACTAGAATTTAGAAGAATGAGAGGGGATCTATCTATTTGAATTGTATAAAATTCTAACAGGGCTTGTCGGACTAGATGCAAGGAGGATGTTTGCCCAAGGTGGAGAATCTACAACTAGGGGACTCGTTCTCAGGATATGAAGTAGGCCATTTAAGACCAAGATGAGGAGACAGATCTCCACAAAAGGTAGTGAACCTGTGGAATTTTCTACCACAGAAGGCTGTGGAAATCACTGTATATAATCAAGAGATAAGTACATTTTTAGGTTTTCAAGGTAAGAAAAGTTATGGGGAGTAAGCAGGTACATGATATTGCAATAGACATCAGCTATGATCATATGAAAAGGTACAGCTGGTTTGAAGGGCTAAATGCTCTGTTCCTGCTTCAAGTTTAGTACAATTTTTTTTCCTGTAGAAGTTCTGAAACCTGAAAGTCAAATAACACTGAAAGCTATGACATTTTATTTTTCATGTTTCTTCAAATATTGTGCTCCACAATTCAACAATGGTTTCCCTAAATTATGTGCAAAAGGCTTATTAGTAATATTGAGATATATGCCTAATGTAATAGTTTTTAGGGTTTAATTGTTAACAGGCAGTCATAGCAAAGCCGACAATGACCAATGGAAACAAAGCAACATCAGAATGTATCACTTGGAAATATATTTCTTCGTTTAAAAGTTTCTTCAACGTCAGAGCTGAAGGCAGATCTTTTTGTACAAAGGGTCTAGAAATACAAAGCAAGGCAGCCCGCATGGAAAATATCATTTGGCAAGGCAAGCAATCAGCTGAATAAATGTTGCTGACATGACCTTGAGGAGAGCAACAGGGAAGTTGTTCAGAAGGTAGTGCTGTCAGCTGCATTTTCAGAGCTGACTACGTACAAACAGCAGGCGTGTTCTGGCTGAGTGTATCGACAACACTCCTGACTAAATTCCAAGCACGTTGTAAGCATCCTGCAATTCATGCCTGAGTGTATGTTGAAAAAAAAGGCTGAAGTTGCGTTGCTTTTGCATTCTGTCTTACTTTTACATTTTGCATTGTTTAAAAAAAACAGCATATAATACCGAGCCGTAAGACTGTAAATCAGTCCAAATTTTTAAATCTGATAAGAGTAGCAGTTTTGACGTTCAGAAAGGTTGAATATAACCTTTGGAGAGGTGAATAATGAAGGTAGTATAGTTCATAATGTCACAGCACCGTGGTGGGAATGACTGGAGTCGGGATGGTGTGGGGTAATTCTGACCTCGGAGACAATTGTTTCGAACTGTTCTGAGACTCTGTCTCAACTCGCTGGAAGCAGCGATTCGATGCCAAATCTTCAAGCTGCTCTCCTCCTTTCCCTCCTCCCTTGCGCATTTGCCTTTCCTTCCTACTTATTTTCAAAACCTACTGATTTCATTTTATTACATTGTCAGTCGGAATTTCCCAACCAGCAGTCCAATCACCCAAAGCCCAGGCTCCAGCATAATTGGCAATTTGATACAGGTTTAAATGGTTTGCAAACAACAGTGACTATACATTGACGCTAGTAGAATACGTTGCTGGATGAAAACATAAATCGGTATAATGTTTCCCAGAAACTCCGCCCCGCCCCCCCCTTTAGGTTTTACAGAAAGCAGCTCTGTTTGTCCTGGCCTCAAATAGGCATATTTCAAAATGCAGACTGCTGCAGTTAAGGGCGAGTGAGCTGTTTTAAGAAAGGCGAGTGAGCTGTTTTAAGAAAAGTCCTTCAGTTTTTTTTTGCTATGACCTGGGTATATCGGCAATAGTGCGGGCTCATGGAGAGAAGCATTGCTTCAGAGTTAAAAAAAACACACACAAGCTGCAAATTCATATCCCTCCCTCCAGCTTGGAGAAGGAATCCCTTTGGCACGAGCAGAACAGCAACACCTCCCTTCTGACTAGCAACAATAACTTCATTCAACCTTGGCTCCTCCTAGACTCGGCTGCTTGTGTAAAAAGCGCCCTGGGGCATAATAAAGTGCCTTTAAACCTCCGTGATCTCCAAGGTAACAAGATCACAAATGAAGTGAACATCGTAAAATCGTTTATTTATTTCAAATAAATATGTCTATCGATATTTAAGAACTGACATTTCATTCCAAGTTATCCCTGAAAGCACGGTTATCGTTTCAGAAGCGGAAGGCAAAAAGCAATTGATGGTGTATACCGAATCCAGTGGGATCTGGTGAATAAAATGATATGTGTCAACAGGCTACCCTCTCAGCACCGTGCCGGATTAGCAAAGGTCATGCATACCTTTTGCAAACACCTCCCTCGCAGCCTACCCTCAATTCGCTTCACCACCTTTCCAGTGAATGTTGCTGTGACACCAGCAGCTCGGGACTGTACTGGTGTCTGGGTGAGGGTTCCTACAGAACACTCTGCAAGTGAAAACAGCAAAATGAGAAAAAAAAGCAAAATGGGCTCTCAGGCGCACTGTTACGGACAAGACTTTTTTTTCTAATCACGACTTTTCGAGAAAGATTTTTCAACTACATTTTTCATGGTTTTCGAAATAAGTCACTACCTTTTTAGGACATTTGACGATAGACAATACATGCTGACTTGTATCAGCCTATCTCGAAAAATATCGTCCCACTTTTTAAATCCCAAGTTTTCGTGTTTAAACAACTACATTATTCTCCCTCGTTAGTCTTGACTGAACCACAAACGTATTTTTATCTGAACAAACAGGTAATGGTTTTCTCCCAGGGTATATCGTCATTAAAATGGCCTCTTAACAAACATAAGAAAGCTTAGAAAGCTGCGCTTGTCTTGCTGGTTTCTATCCTTCAGATGACCTTCAGTCACAGCTTCTTCCAGGTACTTTGGCTGAGATTAGAATCTTGTGCACAACAAAACGATTGCATAAAACAACCTCTGACCATTTCGGTAGTTAACACAATAATGGCTTGGAAGCAGAAAAGAAACAGCCCAGCTGTCCATGCTAGAAATCTGAAACAAAATTATCAGAAAATGGTGGAATATGCTTTTAAAAAATTACCTCTTCTGCCCAGAGATGGAATCGGACCCATTGCTAGTTTTCAGAGCAATTTGTTTTACACTCGTGCATCTACTTAGTACATTTAACCTACAAAAAAAAATTAACCATGTTACCACCAGATGAAGAAGGTGAATTGGCAGTCTTTCTAATCCCATTTTTTTTATTGATTGCAACAAATATTTTTACTAGGTTTTTTAACATGCAGCTTTGACATTTCATTTTAAAAAATGTAGTTAACTGGGTCAATATGAAGGAGCCTATTACGAGGATTCGTCAAGTGAAAGAAAGAGAATGTTCTTACCTACTAATCCTGGAAAAAAAATTTAAAAAGGACATCAAACATGCAAACACAGATATTAAGTTTAAAAGAGAGAGATTCACTAGTATGAGCAGGAAAAAAAGGCTATATAATTTGTGTCCTTACAGTCTTTGAGATGTTAGATTTATAACTTGAGACTATAGTGTTCAATGCTGACTGTATCATCAGAGGCATTGTTTGTAGATATCTAAGTTCTCAATTACTTCCCCATTTTATTTTTTCACTCGTTGCTGTCTTTGAGGTGATGAAAAGTAAATAAGGGAAGAGAGATTTCAGCTCTTGTCATAACAAGTTTGTTTTTTCTTCTTTCTCCTGCTGCTCAGAAACAGCTGCTGAAATAGAATCATAGAATCCCTACAGTACAGACAGAGGCCATTAGGCCCAATGAGTCTACACTAACCCTCCAAAGAGCATCACTCCCACCCTATCCCCAAAACTCTACATTTCCCACTGCTAATCCACCTAGCCTGCACAACCCTGGGCAATATGGAGCAATTTAACACAACCAGTCCACCCAACCTCCGCATCTTTTGACTGGGGTTCATTTATGTATCCCCCTAGTCTGGTGCATTGTCTGTTCAATAATCTGTAGGCAGCCTATTATGTTTATTCTGTGCCACGTAGCAGGCAAATTGAAACACATAAATTCTTTCTTGATGTCTGACTCATTTGACTTGTTTCAATGACTTTAGATAAAATGGTAATTTCTATTCAGATGGTTTTGTTTATTTCGCATTGGTTTCCTGAACTTGCCTCGATCTGTAGTCAGGTGATTGCTGCAGCTATTTTATGTCAATACTTGTCCCTTTTAAACCATTTTAGTCCATGACAGTCTCAGGTATTAAATTTTGATAACGCAAGTTCAATCCTTATAGTCTACATTTTACTAATATCATCACGCACAACAATTGGTGGTCAGCATCCATTGATAAATTCCCAAGTGGAAGACGAGTACTCAACCATTTAGATTACTATACCATTCTTTTCCAAAAAATTTGTTGAAGTGAAGAAGGAAGCAATTCACACCCAAGGCAGCTTTTCTAGGGGAGCAGTGTACTAGGTGCTGTACCCCTGCTTTCTCCTCAGAATGCTGTGTGTTCTGTCTTTTCACATAATCATCCAATTCCCTCTGCTCATTGGAAAACTACCTTTCAACAGCATCATAATTACATATTTCACAAACAAAAAAAGTGCCATGTCTTCAGAACAATGGCACTTTTATTCCTTTTTGCTTCATTTGCTGTCTTGTGTGTGGAACATTTCTAGAAATCAGCATTTTTAAAAATGCCAACATTTCAAAAAGCATGCTCCAGCTAGATTAGATATCCTGAAAATGTTGAGCTGCACTTTATTATATACATTGAGAGCAGTGGTTCTCATATTTTTGGTCAAGGATCCTTTTAAATCAATTATTAATCATGAACACCTCAGTCAAACTTATACTATATCAAAGTCATGCAAACAGTTTTCATTAATACTTTTAAGGAAACAGGTATTTTTGACAGATATCAGTGAGATGGATGTGCCTGCTTTTCACTGTCCATTGATGTTCGACACCGACAGTCATAAATCATTCTCCACTTCCAGAAGACAAACTTAGATTCTGCTTGTCTGTCTTTCACCTTAATAATTCCCTCTCTTGAATGAAGCTGACTTCATCTTGGTACCTACAAGCCTACCCAATGATCTTCATGCTGCTCTCAGCAGTTTTCCATGTGCACTCCCCTTTGCTTTGTACATGGGAGGCACTCCAATCCCATCTGGCTTCAACTCCACTTCCGGTTGCTGTCTATTTGCATACTCTTGACCACAGCAACCCCCTGACCATAGCACCTTAGGTGTTCATCCATCTTGCCCAACAATAAGCCTTTTACCATTCCATACGCATTTTCGCGTTAATTCTTGAACCCCACAGAACATATTTATGGATTCTTCATGAACCCAGGTTAAGAACGATTGATTTAGGTCAGAAAAGAGAAAATAAATAAAACGTCAACCTCTGTCTTCCCTAGGCTGTGTTGAGGAGATCTAAAGCAGAGATGAAATGTTGCTCATCAGAGAAAATATAAAATGCAAGTAACATGGAATACTGTAAACTGAGGACAGCAAGATAATAATCTAAGAATATGAACTGTCCAAATGAAGATGAGGAGGAGAACTTTAGGATGACCTCCTCTTTTGCTGAGGGAAGTGATTAGTTCTTACACTGTGCTTGGAAATTGCAGTTTTCTGTCCCTGAACACCTCCTCATGGTGAAGTATAATATTGTATGGATTTATAATCCTGTGGTATATTACCCAACTGTGTTTGCTGTACTTAATTTGTCCAGCCATGGGACCTGCTCATTACCAAATCTGATTCAAAAGGGCATTGGGTTCTTAAGAGAAACAAAGCCTTTGCAGTCACAACTATGTGTTACAAATACAAGTTCTGTGGAAATATCTGGAATGAATTCATGGAAAGTGATCCTTGGTTGGTCACTGTGGACTTGAGAATTTGTTTAGACAGGGCTTCCAGGAAGTCACGTGACTGGTGATAACTGTTTGCTTTGCTGTAGACCCTTGCTGAATATGTTTGAACAGTGACTGGGCGGACACTGCTTTGGTTTTTGGGATTAGTTGAAGAAAAAGCCTGTGTGGAAGGGCTATCTAGATCTGAAAAACTCACTTACTGAGTTCAGGGTAAAACCTATGTCGCTTTTTGAAAGAGTGATTGAAAACATTTATCAATATTATACATCTCGAGCAAGACTCCTGAGATAATAGTGCCTGATTAGTGACTCGACCACAGATGTCAGAACTTCAGAATAACAGACCTTCGAGCATTGTCCCTTTTTGTCTTCAAGAATAACGATAAATGCCAAGAAAGTATTTTTTATGTAAACATCCACAGAGAGAAATCTGTGTTTTCCCCTTTTCCTGAAGTGTACCTGTGTGTGTGCATGTGATCTGCGTTATTTAGAGGGATAACTATCTAAATTTCTACATCACAACCTGTATATGTTAACCAGTTGTTGATTCTTCCTTGTTTTGATAATGAACCAACAATTATGTTATTAAAGAAGTTTCAAAGATAGTAGAACTGCAGATGCTGGAGAATCTGAGATAACAAGGTGTAGAGCTGGATGAACACAGCAGGCCAAGCAGCATCAGAGGAGAAGGAAGGCTGACGTTTCGGGCCTAGACACTTCTTCAGAAATAGCAGGAAGGCTGACGTTTCGGGCCTAGACCCTTCTTCAGAAATGGGGGAGGGGAAGGGGATCCTGAAATAAATAGGAAGAGAGGGGACGGCAGATAGAAGATGGATAACGGAGAAGATAGGTGGAGAGGAGACAGACAAGTACAAGAGAGTAGCAGTGGGAGAGAGATCCACTGAGGTCTTTCCGGAGGGAGGAGGGTAACTTCTTCAAGGTAGGCATCCTTAGAAGAGGCTTTGCAGTGGGGTTAAAATTGTTTCAGAGACCTCCCCCTCTCTCCCTATTTATTTCAGATCCCCCTTCCCCTCCCCCATTTCTGAAGAAGGGTCTAGGCCCGAAACGTCAGCCTTCCTGCTCCTCTGATGCTGCTTGGCCTGCTGTGTTCATCCAGGTCTACAACTTGTTATCTCAGATTCTCCAGCATCTGCAGTTCCTACTATCTCTGAAACAATTTTAACCCCACTGCGAAGCCTCTTCTAAGGATACCTACCTTGAAGAAGTTACCCTCCTCCCTCCGGAAAGACCTCAGTGGATCTCTCTCCCATTGCAACTCTCTTGTACTTGTCTGTCTCCTCTCCACCTATCTTCTCCGTTATCCATCTTCTATCCGCCTCCCCCTCTCTCCCTATTTATTTCAGAATCCCCTTCCCCTCCCCCATTTCTGAAGAAGGGTCTAGGCCCGAAACGTCAGCTTTCCTGCTCCTCTGATGCTGCTTAGCCTGCTGTGTTCATCCAGCTCTACACCTTGTTATCTCGTGTTATTAAAGAAACCTGCTTTGTAGATCATTTTATTTAAACCAGATGTAAATGACGTATTTAATTGGCCACCTTGGTAACTGGGAAAAGTATTTTTCTTTCACATTGTGATCTGTGAACTGGTGGAACTAGTGCAACAGTGCACGCCTCCAGCCTGTCGTAGAAAATGAATCTGTTCACTTGAATATGGGATCTTTGCAGCTTATGTGGCTCATGCAGGATCATGTCCTTAGTTTTGGCCAAGTTTCAAATCTCAATCTTCCACTAGGCTTTTATGTTTCAATTTTATTTCAGTACTACTTAAATCATTCCCAGATGACCACCTTACTCTACAGGGAGGACAGGCATATCAACCAATACTATTACCACAGCTACTATTGGACGTGGGAGATTTGATTTCCGAATTAACTTCTGTTATTTTTCTTGGCTTGTCACAGATCATCTGTATGCTATAGGAATCTCTATGGTCCTGAAATCCCAAAGCTTTCTTCTATCGCTGAAGCAGAAGCATATCAGGACTCTTGGCCA